AATGCGCCGACCGGAATTCCGCACTTCGTACTGGCTTTTTTTGTGCATCATTTGGTGTGGTACATGATTTCATTCGGCCAGTTCGCACCTCTGCTTCCTTTATTGGGTACGAACGAGGCTTCAATTTTGTGGTTCTCCAATTTTCTCTTTAAAATTTCTCATCTTTCTCGTAAAAGGCAAGAAGTTAGCTTCGCCTTCTTTTCAAGTAGAAGTGGACTGTCGACACGCTACGGGGTTTTTATATTCGCATTCAACTTCGAAAGAAAGAACGGTGGGGTCGATCGAAGTTCTGAGTGAAAAGTTTTTCGCACGTATTTTTCTCCTAACGATCTGCCGATCGAGACGATTCGTAGAAATGAGAAATCTCTCTCGAGGAACACTTGCCCGAGAGGAATTCAGCCGGTTCACATTTGTACGGGCGCGAGTGCATTTCTATTCGAATCTGCCCGAAGACGTGCTTAAGTAGGAGATATTTCGCATGCGAATGCATCATTTGAGAAATGCATGCAGGTCACGCGTGATCTTTCACTTCTCTGCTCTTCATGGGGTCCAAGGAAAAAAATAAAAATTAAAGAGGAAGTACCTTCCCCCCATCCCCAGAGGTTTCTGCTGCTAAAGTGGAAGCTGCGCAGGAAATGAATGGAATCGAGGTGACCTAGATGATGAAACTCAGAGAAACATGCCGCCACATAATGACAAAATCTTATCTCGTTTGACCTTGTCGACGAGAGACGACGTGGGCGAGAACACGGCTCCCCCCGCATTGTGCCTGCACGTCGTAGAAACGTCGTTTCCAGCCATCGGCGCAAACAAACACCCAATCTCCGCCGATCCCGCATTATTCGTGCAACTACGCATCGCCCAACTTTCAAAACAAGTGCGAATGGTAGGACGTCGAATGATGTCGGATGGTTCGGGTGCCATCCGCCGTTTCCTCTCGCGATGCCGTCACGATCCACGATGCAGCGAAGAAAAAGTCAGACGAGGATATCCCCGTGATGGTTCTTCCATTCCTCGAATGTAGCTTCTACACCAGGGAATCGCAACGCGTCACTTGCGAGTGACATGGCACTCTCGAGGTGTCACTCTCACTTGGGCAAACTTAATTCCCCTCTCATTTCTTTGTACTTTCTTGCTTTTGGCTCGAGTCACTTCATCCACGTGCGGTGAACACCAGAAAGGAATGATATGATGCTTGTCACTGAGTATTCTGAAATTGAATACAGCTAGAACACATACCTAAACAAGGTGCTTCAAAAATGAGCCAACACAGAGGTAGAGCCTGTTGAATTACTGCCTTTGAAATAAAATGTTAGCTTTTCTTCGAACAGCTATCTCTCTGATCAACTGATCTCTCTCGCTTCTCCGGTCTGTTATAGAAATTCTCTTAAAATCTCGAAGAGCCCATGCTGGATATGCCATACAGTGCTTTTAAATGCATCGAAGTTGTCTGCCAAATCTTTCAGGCTCGCCGGGAGAGCTTCCTTTCCATTGATGTCATGCTGTTTCAGTTTCTTGAGAATCCATTCCATGGATTCTTTCTAAGCTTTCTAGTTCTGGCACGCTCGGGTCAACGTAATCACACGAAAGCGGATCCTTCTTATCTCGAAAAACAAAGTCCAGGTTTAGGTTCTCCTGGACGAATGCATGAGAATCGCGATGGGTAGACAATCTTCTCACCTGAAAAGTTATTGAGGCATCGCTGTGCCAAGTGTCTCATTGATGATGAATCCAATGTTACACTATCATTAGAAGTAATGCAAATCCGTGTGAGGTCGAATTTTTATTGAACACTCAGGAAACTATGGTGAAGTGTGGAACTTGAGAGGTGGAGCAGGAATTTGCATGCGTTCGTAAGAAGTATGGTATATTCTTGAAGCAGAAACTTCACAACCATCATACAGGAAAGCCTCGAAAAGCTGACAAAGCAAAAAAAGTTCGAAAAACTCAAATAGAGGTGTACTTTCAGGGCGAACTCCTCTGATATCCAACGAGAGCTTAATTCGTGCATTGAATGTACTGTATGTTTGTGAAAGACCGAAATGGTAAAAAAAAAGCAATATTATATTGGTCGGTTGCCTCCGGCGTCTTAATTTCTGATGGAAAAACTATAATTGCTGATCATTTGAACTTCGAGTAAGAAACAACTGAAAGAGGTCAATTGTCAATATGATCCGCTTTCAGAGACGATTCGCAAATGTTTGAGAAATCCTTTAATACGAGATAGGATGGAAGATGGTAATAACGTCGGGCCCGAACATCACTGGCCTGCTGCTGAGTATGAATGGTGGAAAGGTGGACAAAGCGGACAAATTATTCGTCGCTGGGCTAGGACGCATGCGACAGCTAATGTGCCTCGCATGCGCCTGTCACGTGCACACATTCCTAGGGGTGTTGGGGTACACGAACCGCGGCTGGAGACGAGATCCAGGAAAGAGGGACACCATTACCTGACTCTTGCCTCATCGGGCGCAAATGATATACTCGAAGTTGGACAGTCTTGTCATACCTCTGCGATGCATTCGTATTTTGGCAAATGGCCTTCCTCAATGTGCATGCATACATATAGGATGCCAGTAATTCGAAGTACAGTAATAAAATGTAACTTTTCCATGCATTAGGTAGATGCAGTATTTGCTCCTATCAAACAGTTTCTCTCCAAGGGCCATGAAGGCTATTTTACATGTTGTGTCCTTGCCATAGTATTATTGATTGTGCAGTGTCTTTAGGCCTCAGGTGAGAAGGTAAGGCCTGAATTTTATGGTGTGCTTAGAGCATAAATACTGGAAAAGGAAGAGAATAGTGGGAGTTTCCAATCAAATCGTGGACTTGGTTCTGTGGAGCCTCTTCCTTCTCAGGTGTTCTTTAAAAAATAAATTTAACCTCAGTGACATTTCCTTTAAAAGATACGATTTAATGGCACTGTACAGTCAAGGTCATTTCGATAAGAATGCTGCGAGAACAAGCAGGCGTTTGACGGAAAAAAATTATTTTGATGAAATCTCTGCCACCCGAGGCGTGGAAAACTGAAATTTCTTGTCGACGTTTCAACGACTGTTGCTCTTTACCCAAACGACCTGTATACTTCAAAACTTTCATTAAACAAATTTTAGCGTTTCTGTATGATAGGAAAGATTCACACATCTGGTATTTCTTAAAGTAAGTTTTGTAAAGCCTCAAACAAGACGCATTCGTATGCGCCGCCTGGATATAAATAAATTGGATGTAAGAACTCTAGATGGTAGGCATTTAAACATATTAGCAGAGTTCACTTATGAATCATCCATTCCAATCCAGCTTGATTCATGATTTATTCCTGATTATTTCGCATTCATCATCGAGCTCAGTTTCACCTTGACTTTAACCCACTGTGAGCAAATGAAACATTTTTAAATCTATCAAAATTTCAGAAGAAACTTCCATAAAATAAAGAAATTAACGTAACCACAGTGTACAGATGATAAAACAGCGAATATGAGATATACAAAATGTTCATTGGACATTCGCATTAAGAGGATACAATCCTCGCAAAACGACCATTTCAAGAGAGATTCAAGGCGAAATACTGGGTGAATGACGTCATGATACCGTCAGCCCTCACGATTCCGTTGACAGAAGGGAGGTCCGGCTCTTTCCATAAATGGAATGGAGGGAAAACTTGCTCGTCCATCACCATGATGACGATCCGATGGGTCTTCATCCCCCTCTTAATGTTTCTACTTAATTGCTTCCATATCATCAGGGTAACTGAAACGGGAGGAGGAGAGGAAAAGAAGAGGTCTCTTGGGGAAGGTAAAGGAGGTGGAAGAGATTTCGGGTCGTGGTCCTTTCATTCGGTCCTCGCTGATAGATACATTGGAAGCTCGATGGGTCTTGATTTTAATCCTAATCAAGGAATGGAATCCATTTGGACTCTGAAGGAGAACGAAATCGTCCATTTGAGGATATTACCCAACGGAAGGAAGCTCTCAAATTGGATTGCATGTGATAGGAGGATCGGGCGGACGTTTCTAGGACGCTGGTGCAGACAAAAAAAAAAGACAATTTAAGGGGGAAAAAACCTCAAAGAAGAGTCTCTTACGGACGTCATCAGACTTTTTCAAACGAAATAACGGAATTGGTTTCATGATGGTTATCTATAAGAATATCTCCATCTCGTTTATCTTGATTCTCTTCTAGCTTACTTTGGAAGGAAATCGGACCAGTTGAATTTTCTTCAGCCAGCATGTTACTCGATTTACTTGACCCATATGGTCCAGACTTTTCGGTCTTTAGCAAAGCGCTTAGAAAACGAACGGTACTGACAACAAGGTTTCTGGGGGGCATTTCAAAGCAGTATTTATGTATTTTCAAAGAGCGTCGAACTTAACGTTGTCCAAATTCGTAATAATAAACTACAACTTTTTCTTTCGGAATCAATAATGGAATCATCTGTGACGCCATGGCAATTCATGACGAAGTACAACAGATAAAAGGAAGGAATCGTTCGAGTTTCCTCATGGCAACAGCTGCCGGCATGGAAACTTACAGAGTAAAACCTACAATAATGGAATTGGCTTTTTTTTTCTCCTTCCCAAAAACCCGAAAGTCAACACCAAAGGGAAAGAGATGGCTTACATGGGAACATTACATGCGCCTCTTATTAGAGATAGCAATCATATCTTCATCTGTATTCAAAACCGTCGAGAACGTTCCGGATGTGTCCTGCTTCTGGGTTATCTGAGGGAATCACCGTCAGCTTTTATGACAGAATGATGTTTGTCAATACTTCTATTATAGCCCAATAAAGTTTGGAACGACCCGGATAGTGACCGAAGTTTATGATCGCTGACGCTATAAACATATGGGGATATCCCTGGTATGCGTTGCAAGAAAAATTCCCAATCTGTAAAAAGTACATTTCAAATCCCGCAATGGCGGCAATAGGGCCTCAATTGATAACCTTCGAATGCTGACCTACGAAATTCCATCATGAGAACAAATAAAGCAGGACTATAAATTGAAGCCCCAATGCAGTTTGTTGCTGTGCTCCGAAGTGCCAACTTGCAAGCGGAACGCGGTTTAAAAGCGATTTCATTCAGGCCTTCTCCACATATTGCCTTCTACCTGTGAGTTTCTGATATGGTATTTCTCAACACGCTGTTGACTCGTTTCTCACAGGATACTATTCATTTAGGAAACGGCCGTAAGAATGAAGCTCTTGATCACAATCTTTGCTTTCTCTGCCATCGTCGGGATTGGGTCCAGCAAGACTTTCCACAAGAATTTACACCTTCAACGATTTACCAGCAGAGTAAGTAGTTTTTCGAGCAACTGAATTCATTCTTGAGAGACTTCAGGCACTTCAAGAATAATTTTCCTCTAAGGGAGTTCTTATTACCTTACATACCCAATTTAAGTCATTTATGCAGAACGTATTTATAATGGATCGCTAACGTTTGTAGGTTGTGGGACCCGCGAAGGATGCACCAGTGGATTGCCCACCCGAGAACGACCCCGACGGTGAGGCGATTCTTCTGCCAAACCCTTATGACTGTGGCTCCTACTATGTTTGTGACTGGGGTACCCCCATCCTCATGCAATGTCCAGCT